AAAATACCGTCCTTCTCAAACGAATACCTATAGAACGTCAACTTTGTTTGAAGACCTGTAGAGGGCTTCATTTTGTCTACAAAGCTTGTAGTTCATAAGGCAATCCTAATTCTAAAGGATTTTTGTTGGAAGCCTAGATTAGTTTTATATTTCCTATTGAACTCCCCACAGTCCTTTTTAATTTTCTAACATCCCGCCCAAATCCCATTATAAAAATAAAAAAAATGTAATTAAATTTAAAATTGTAAAATATATTTTGTTTTTTTTTTTTTTTTTTTTTTTTAATAATAAATTATTTTCTTGGAAAATATTTTTTTCTTAAATTATCACAGTTTTTTGTAAAGCTTGTTTTGATGATTTCATATAACAGTTGATGACATTTTCGGAAGACATCTAGAGATTATTTCTTTTTTCCAAAAGAAAAATCTAAGCCTGGGCCCAACGATCTTGCATATAGGCAGCAGAGGTCCAGAAGAAGGTACCCTGTTCGGTGCGTACAAAGTGTACCGGCACAGTGGTGGGGTAATCAATTTCCGCCTCCTTTTCATAGGATTCATTAATGTCGTTGTCATAGGATTCCATGGAGCCGCAATCTGAGGATGATTCAAGACTGGCATTGCGGCTATTTTCCAGAGATTCAAAGGATTCCATTGAGTCAGAGGCAGCAACAGTTTTCTTGGATTTGAAGATTTGTTTGAACAGCTTCTTCATGCTGCTGCTGGAGTTTTTCTTCTGGGAGATGCTGATGATATCCATGTTCTGGTATTGGTTTTGTTGAATTTCTACGCACATTTTGAATGCTTGGTGTTGAAGGTGAGTGAGTTCTTTACAAGAAGGTTAATCGAATGAGAATGATGCTGTTCTCTGGGAGTGTTAGGCCTTTTATACTCCCAGCCAGGTTGCAAGGACATGCAGGTAAGAGAAAATCTACCAGCTCCAGGACAAAAGACTCTACTTATCAATTGTGTGTGATGTACCTTTCTGATCGTGGGAACGTCTAGTGAAATTCGAAATTTTACTGAATCATTTTTAAACAATGGAGATTAGGATTTGAAATGGTTTTGATGTTGTTCTATTCAAATTGTTAGTTTTGCACGTGTGCAGGAAAAATGTTACTTTCCCAGGACCCGTAAATGCCAATACAATAAGAATGCAAGTAAGGTTACGATGTGGTTCCCACGCAACTCATGACAATAGGAGTGTAGACAAGGCAATAAGGTTCTTAGGATAGGTTAGTTTTGTAAAAGTATGGGGAAATATAAGGCAATACTAAGTTTTTTATTGATGACTTGGATCTTCAAAAAAGAACCCATGGCTTTTGGGTTTCCCAAAAGGCTCGTGCCCGAAAGTAAAATGATTTTCAAAACAAGAAATATCACTTTGAGGGTTCCACCGGCTTTTAAGCCATTGTATTAGATGGAATATTAGGTGTTATTTCAATTAATGATGCAGTTCATTATCAAAATATTTGAAAAGGCAGTGAAGGCAGTACTTAATTTGAAAACAAGTGCCTTTATGGGCTTCCTCTGCAGTTTTCTCTTTGATGCCTCTGACACAGTTCTTCATAATAGAAAATGATGTGTATGGGAGTAGCAGATTCAAAGAGTATCCCTTATCCAAATATTTGAGGGAAATGTTATGCCCCCATTGAATAAATTATTAATGAAGATTTCAAATATTTAGTACTTTCCCCCTCTAATTAATAGCACGGGTAGGTTATAGAGAAGTGGTCCACTCGGTTACTGTAAGAAATGAGGTAAATTTGAATAACTTTGTTACCTCTAATGCCATTGAATTTTTGTCAGTGTCTATTATGGTTGATGCCACCAAAAAGTAGATGGGTTAGTATTTTGCATTTGTTGTTTGTCCGAATTACCCCTTGGACCCCGCAGCTGAATTGACAAATTACTGTATCCTGATATAGTGCAAAAGGGATCTCGATTAATTTATATGTGTGGTTTGGAAAATCTACCACAAGGATAAAGGGAGGGCAACATATTTTGCGGCTTTATAGTTGGAATTACCCAAACCTCTGCCTCTATAAACCCTTTACCTCATCATTATTTATCAATAATTCATTCTTATGCCAATTATATGGAACTAGCGGATAAATAATAAGGTCAACTTACAATAAATACACATGACTCTGTAAGCCCTGTAAATCTTCCAAGGCGACTCCTAACCCCCGTTTCAACCTGGCATCCAAATACAAGTGAGGTATATTTGAATGTCTTTATTACCTCTGATACCATTGAATTTTTCTCAGGCTTTATTATGGTTGATGCCACCAGGAATAGGTGGGTTTAGTATTTTGCATTTGTTGTTTGACTGAATGAATCCTACGCCCACTCAGATGAATTGACAAAATACTGTATCCTGATATTGTCGAAGAGTGGATATCGATTAATTTGTATGTGTGCTTTGGAAAAAATTACCACAAGGAAAAGGGGAGGGCAACATGTTTCGCGGCTTTATAGTGGGAATTACTCAAACCTCTGCCTCTATAAACCCTTTACCTCATCATTATATATAAATAATTCATTCCTACACCAATTTTTCTAGAACTAGTGGACAAATAATACAGCCAACCTCTCAAAAACTACTCATGGCACTGTTAGCCCTGTAAATTTCCCAAGGCGACTACTTACCCTGGTGTCAACCTGGAATTTAAATACAATCTCTCATGGCAGCTATTCAAAATACGATCGAGCTGATGTTGAACATAATTTCTTGGAGAAACGGGGAGTTTTATTGCATTTTGAAGTGAAAATGGAATTGTTGAGATTCCATCAAAAAATCGAACCCAAACCGCAACGGAATATTAATGGGAATAATTTAAGCAAATACCCAATGAAGATTGCTCCAATACAATTTCAGAGTGCATTTTTCAAATGGTTCATTGTGGTAAATTTCTGTACAGTTCCATTGATTCTCAACAAATTTGCAATGATTTCCCAAGTTCCAAGGGGAGGTTTAGTGAGACATAAGCAGACTTCATTGTACGTCCTATACAGTCTATCTACACTTTCTTTATTATCATATTGTGTGTGTAAAAATATCCCCTGATAATTTGATAGCAGTCCAAAAACACCACTGGACCACTCGAAGTCATCTTCAGCCTTCCATCTAAGAAGCCCCTTTGATTTTTTATTCATAGAAAACGCCATTAGGTCTAAGAGCATTTATCCATAAAAAGGTGCCTTGAACTGATGATCCATTTCACCTACTCTTATAGAAGACCCCCCTTTGGCCTTCCCTATGTAAAATACTCCTCTGGTCTTCAGCTTGAAGTTTTAGGCACAGATTATGGCTGCACATAACAACACTTGGTTTCAAAGAAATTTTAGAAGAAGTGATCAAATGAGAAGACAGGAGAAAATTCTGTCCTGATCAAATAGCCTAATATATGTGTATTAGATGGTTGTTCCTTAAGTACTGGATTGTAGGTCCCAAAAGGTTGCTGGATTTTGGTACTTAGGACCAACTATAAAATAAAATGTCTGGGATATGTAGAACTGTTTTATCACTTTACCCCAAAGGAAGCAAAATCAAAATCTCCCCTTATTAATACCCTAATATGAGGATTTCGATTCATTTGGAGATTTAAGTACTGATTATGGCTGTCTTATAAAATGCCCTGGTTTTAAATACCCTTTTTTGGAAGTGAACAAATGAAGAGTCATACAAAATATCCCCTGATTAAAACCCCAACATGTGTATTTAGTTGTCCCCCTAGGAATTTGGGCTGCAGTCCCAAAAGGTCATTTTAATATTTGGGGTCTTAAGCATCAATTATGTGTACCACCGAAGAAGTCAGAATCCGGACCGACACCCCCTCCGAAATGATAAATTTATTTACTTATATTCGCAGAACATTTTACTTGAAAAATCCCATTTTGGTCTGTTGGGCGCCATCCCAAAAAAAAGCTACGAAATGCATTTCTGGTTGTGTCTGTGGTGTGGCCACATAAATTGTGTTAGGTTTACAGAACTTATTTTATCAAGCGGACCAAAGGGGGGACACAATAAAAATTTCTCCTAATTAAAGGGCCTAATATGTGTATTGGGATGTCCCTAAGGACATTCTGGATGCCTGGATGCTTTGTTTTATAGACTTATTTAGCAAGGGCATAAATGGAATTCAAAGCCAAAAATCTCTTCAGATTCAACTCTTCAAAGTAAGACCACATTAACACTTTATAATGAATACAAATCCTCCTGGAAAATTGAGGTAACCTCTTTCCAAAAATCCTATTCAAAATTTTGTATTTACCCTAGAGAAATCCCAAAGGCAAGTACTAACCGAGGGCAAACGGCCATGTCATTAAGCTCGTGTTAACTCGCGCTTAACACACGACTATAAAACACGCAGTGAAGACCTAATTCCATAACTTGGCATAGCACACAACGGCAAGCATACCCACAATCACTAGTGAGCAAAAATAAACATGCTTGGTAAAGGATCCCGAAAAACCGAAACAAATAGAAAAACAACCCACGCGTCGTATTTCACTTTTCCAATTGCGTGGGAATCGTTTCCAAATCGTAACACCACAACACAATTCTTACTGTAAGGGAATTTAGACACGATCCTAAACAAGCACAACACATGCTGACACATAACCTCCAACAACACCAGACGATAATAGCAAACAACAACTACATCGACATTAACAAGGATCACAAATTATTTGTCTAAAATCATTTTTTCAAAATTTCACTGAACGTTCCCACGATTCGAAAGGAAAATCAAACAATGGACAGACAGGCTATTGTTTTAGGAGCTGGTAGATTTTCAACTACCTGCCCGGACATTCTTCCCCCGGTTCTCACTAGGATATCCAAAACGGCTGAGGGTATAAAAGGCCAGGGGTTGCTAAGGGTACAGCATTATTCTCTCGATAACATTTCACCTAATCACAACCATTCCCTTACACACCGCCACACCAGCAGCATTCAAAATGTGCGTAGAAATTCCTCAATCTCCAGAATACAACAAAATGGATATTTCCAACAAGAAACCAACCACCATCGCCAGCTACAGCATGAAGAAGTTGTTGAAACAGATTTTCAAACAACAAAAATCCAAGAATATTGCAGCCAACTCAATGGACTCCCTCGAATCCTTGGAGAATAGCCGTAATGCCAGTCTTGAAATGGATTGTTCGTCATCATCCATGGAATCATTTGAAAATGACATCAATGAACAAATCTTGGCTGAGGAGGTGGAGCAAACCTATGTTCCAGTACATTCATTCGCACCCAACAGGGTACCTTCTTTTGGACCTCGGCTGTTGATTATCAATTGAGCTGCTTGCAGCAACAAGATCGTTGGGCCCAGGCTTAAGATGTGCAAAAAATCTACCTTCGAAAAAAAATCAGCAACTTCTGTCTTCCATTGAAAATGAAAAAAAAAAATAATTTAAGAAAAGCTTTAAAACAAACTGTGATATTAAAAACAACTTATTTTTAAGAAAATTATTTACAAAACAAAAAATGAAAAAGAAAATATAATTTTTACAAATTTTAACTGAGTTTTTGATATTTTATTTTTTAACATGGGAATGGGGGAGAAACTTCAAAATTTTCGTTGTTATTTGGTCAAGAGATTTTTGTCATTCATCCCATTTTGGTGTTGAGTTGAAATAGAGGTTCAATAATGCGAGGGCCAATGTCGATGGTCCACAAAAATCTGTTAGCTGATATAATTTGTACCCGGCCACTGCCACCTATCGTCCCGTTTGAGAACTATACATTGCAATGGGTTTCCCTTTAATTGTTCTTGATATTTCCCACTAGATGGAGCCTTGCTCCGATTCTCACTGCAATGTTGCTCTATGATGTTAATTTTAAGTTTAGAAAGAGAGACTTTTCAATTACTTTCCGATTCTTCTGGACCTCCATCTATAGAAGACCCCTAGTGTTGGCTTATCTGTAGAATAGTCACTCTGAATAGAGGATATTTTTTGTTTTAATTTATAAAATACATTTCTTTGACCTTTCATCCAAAGAGGTTTATTGGATGGTCTTTATAGAGAAGGCATCATCAGTCTTCGATTTAAGAAACCCCTTTGATTCTTTAGTCACAGAAGACCTCTATTAGGTCTGAAGAACTCTTATCCATTAAAGGTGCCGCTGAAATCTTTTGGATCTCTAGAGCCATTCTAAATTTAACAAAAATCAAGTAAACTACTAATCCCCTTATTGGATACCCTAATATAAGTGTTAGGATGTCCCCTAAGTATTTTGATGACAGTCCAAAAAGGGGCCATTAGTCTTTGGAGACTTAGGCACCTATTATGGCAGCCACATAAATGACTTGACCTTTAAAGAATTGAACAATCGAGAAGTAAACTTAAATTTCTCGGCCGGTTAAACCACTCTTATATGTGTCTTCGAAGTCATTTAAATTTTCGAACTTCAGTACCAATTATGAATGTTATATAATAATTGACAATAGGAAGACATAACAAAAAGTTCAGAAAACCTTTTTGATTTTTTATTCAGTGGGGCTTCAGTCCCTTATTGGGGCTGAAGAACCCTTATCTATAAAATGTGCCTCTGAACTGATGATCTATTTGATCTCTTCTTGCTCCTGTACACTTTGGTTTTCTATCCTTAGAATTCCACTTTGGTCGTCTAGCTATAGAAGACCCCTTCGGCCCTTCATATATTGATGAACACTTGGTCACTAATTGATTGAAGACCCCTTTGGTTGGTTAGAGAAGGCATCTTCAGTCTTCCATCTAAGAAACCCCCTTGATTTTTTTTATTCAAAGAAGAACCTTATTGGGGCTGAAAAAACCCTTATCTAAAATGTGCCTCTGAACTGATGATATATTTGATCTCTTCTTATAGAGGAGCACTTTGGTTTTCTATCTTTAGAATTCCACTTTGGCCTTCTAGCTATAGAAGACCCCTTCGACCCTCCATCTATTGATGAACATTGGTCACCATTTGATTGAAGACCCCTTTGGTTGTCTATCTATACTACACCCACCCTTTTGGTCTTCCATCTATGAAAGGTGGTCCTTTTGGTCCAGTAGTCCTCTTTCTGAAGAAAATCTCCTTAACTTCTTTTTATAGAGTACCGCTTTGTTATTCTGTCCATAAAGAGACCATTTTGATCTTCTATCTATAAAATACACCATCTCTCCTCAGAAGACCCTTTGGGTCTTTTAGCTATACAAAACCTCTTGGTCTTCTATTTATACAAGACCCCTTCTGTCCTCCATCTATTTATGATGCCTTGGGACTTCTATTTATTGAAGACCCCTTTGGTTGTCTATCTATACTACACCCACACTTTTGGTCTTCCATCCATAAAAGGTGGTCCTTTTGGTCCAGTAGTCCTCGTTCTGAAGAAAACCTCTTTAAACATCTTTTTATAGGGTACCGCTTTGTTTTTCTGTCCATAGAAATTTCCCGTCGATCTTCCATCTAAAGAGACAATTTTGATCTCCTATCCATAAAATACACCATCTCTCCTCAGAAGACCCTTTGGGTCTTTTAGCTATACGAAACCCCATGGTCTTCTATTTATACAAGACCCCTTCGGTCCTCCATCTATTGATGTCGCTTTGGGACTCCTATTTATTGAAGACCTCTTTGTTTGTCTACCTATCGTAGACCCACCCTTTTGGTCTTCCAGGTGCTTCTGGTCTTCTATCTGAAAAATACATCTTTGGCATTTTTTCTGAAGAAGACCTCTTTCAACTTCTTTCTATAGAATACACCTTTGAAGTTCTGTCCATAGAAAATCCCTTTGGTCTTCGACCCATAGGAGACTCCTTTGGCCTTCTATCTATAGAAGGTCCATTTGGTCTTCTCTAAATAGAAGACTTTGTTGATCTTTCTGTCATATAAAAACCCATTCGGTCTTCAATTTTTAAGAGATATTTCATCTAAAAAATTCCCTATTTATAAAATATGTCATCTACTTTTAGAAGACCCATTGGTCTTCTAGCTATTTGTAGTAGACCCCTTCGGTCCTCCATCTACAACTCGGGACTTCTATTTGGCTGTCTATCTATAGTTCACCCACCCTTTTGGCCTTCCCCCTATAAAGGACCTTTGGTCTTCTATCTGAACAAGATACCATTGGTCTTCTTTCTGAAGAAGACTGCTTGATTACCCCTTTAATCATCCATCTATTGATGATCCATTTGGTCTTCTATTTATTGAAGACCCCTTTGGACTTTTATCTGTAGAAGATCCCCTTGGTCTTCCATATATAAAAAAGGTCTTTTGATCTGAAGAATATCTCTTTGAATTTCTTTCTATAGAATACCCCTTTGGTGTTCTGTCCATAGGAGACCACCTTGGACTTTTTTTCTATGGAGGACCGCCTTGGTCCTCTATTTATTTATATTTGGTTTTCTTTCCCATTGACCTTCCACCTAAAAAAGACTCCTTTGATCCTTTATTTATAAAATACAGGGTTGCCCATATTCGACGGACCCATCTGGCAACGCCATAACTTTTAACAGAGATGTCACATCGATTAATGACATACCGCGTTTGAAGTGTCAGTCCAAGCAGATTTTTACCATGAACCAACACACCATTAAGCGTTTATACGAAAAATTTCGACTGGTAAAGCTCTTTCTAATCCGAAGAGGCCATATAAAAGTCGACCAAGGCGATCGGACGAGAATATCGCTGCCGTACGAGCCAGTGTTGAGAGGTCCCCAAGAACATCCCAAAAACGCCGTTCTCAACAGTTGGGCATGGCTCGGTCCACTTTAAAACGGATTATTCGCATTGATTTGCATTTCTTCCCGTACAAAATACAATTGACGCAAAGAATGTTGCCTGTGGACAAGCCTCGTCGATTGGAATGGGCCCATGGGTCCGTCGAATATGGACAACCCTGTACATCCCGATATTCGGTATTTTTATGATTTTTGCCCCACTTTTTCAAGGATTTGTCTGAAAATTGGTTCTTCTGTCCATAGAAGACCCCTTTGGACTTTTATCTATAGAAGACCGCCTTGGTTCTATATTTATAAAAGACCCCTTTGGTCTTCCATCTGGTCTTTCTTTCCAAATGATCTTCCACCTAAAGAAGACTCCTTCGACCTTCTATTTAGAAAACACACCAATGGGACCTTCTATCGAAAGAAGCCTCTTTGTTCATCTATCATTAGAAGACCCCTTTGGTCGTCTATCCCCTTTTGGTATCCTATTTATAGAAAATTCACTCGGACTTTAATATATAGAAGACCCCTTCTATCTATAAAAGATCCCCATGGTCACTTATGTATATATGGAAGACCCATTTAGGCTTCTAATCATGGAAGACACCTCAGATCTTCCTCATATATTAAATCTCTTCTATCCGTCTTTAAAAGATCCCCAGGGTCTCCATTATATAGAAGATCCAATGAGTCATCTAATAATGGAAGACCCCTTTATTTTCTAATAATGGAAGGCCCCTTTGGTATCCCCTATATAGTGGAGTCCTTTGGTCATCTATGTATCGAAGAACCCTTTTTTCTTCCCTACATAGCATTATTCATATGTCCCCCATAAATAAATGCAAGATCATTTTAATAGTCTATCCATAGAAGATTCATTTGATCTCCTAGCTTTATAATCCACATTTAATCTTCTCATACCCCTTTTCAATCGCCTTTTAATAAGAAAACCCTGAAAATGTAGAAACTACTATTAATTTTCTTCCCCAAAATCCCAACCCAATTCCCCCAAAGACAAACTCATATAAAATTTCATTTTAAAATTGTAAAAATATATTTTGTTTTCATTTTTTTTTTCGTTTCTTATAAAATAAATTATTTTCTTGGAAAATAAGGTTTTTTTCTTAAATTATCACAGTTTTGTAAAGCTTCTTTTGTCGAATTTTTATAACAGTTTAAAGTTTTCTTAGCCATGGGAAGACATCTGTATAGGTAGGCGAATAAAGTTTTCAGTATTTAAGCTTGGGCCCAACGATCTTGCATATGAACAGGAACAAGGTCAGCGGCTGAGGTCCAAAAGAAGGTACCCTGTTCGGTGCGTACAAAGTGAACAGGTACTGTTGTGATGGGGTAATCAAATTCCTCCTCTTTTTCATAGGATTCATTGATGTCGTTTTCATAGGATTCCATTGAGTCGTAATCTGATGATGATTCAAGACTGGCATTGCGGCTATTTTCCAAGGATTCCATTGAGTCGGCAGCGACAGCTTTGTGGGATTTGAAGAATTTTTTAAACAGCTTCTTCATGCTGTTGGAGTTTTTCTTCTCGGAGATGGTGATTTCCATGTTGTATTGGTTTTGGGTGATTTCTACGCACATTTTGAATGTATGATTTTGAAAGTGAGTTCTTCACTGGAAGGTTAATCGA